TATATAATACAGAAACTGTGCATCAGCAGACTTAACAGCATCCTATCCACATACAAAGTATTCAATCCATATACGAAGTATCCACACCATTCATTCCAGACAAAATGTATCCATTCTAAATGCAAACATTCATTGCAGATAAAAATGATCTATTCCAGCCTTAGATTGAAAAGAAACTTAGTGCTGCTAGCCATGTTTTCTTCATTTTAATTTTTTTTTTTTTTTTTTATTATTATTTATTAGGTAAAGTTTAGTTAGGAAAGTGAACTGGGAAAAATGATACAGAAGAGAAAAGGGAAAATGGAAAAGGAGGAAACAAGTCCATCCACATTAATATGTACAAGATTTTAGGACATTTTAAAAATGTATGAAATATAGTCAATAAACTTTAAACAATATATGATTTTATAACAATGCATACATTGTTAAACAGTGTCAAATCTAATGAAGAGAGTCTGTTGATTAAAACAAACATTGCATTTGTCTTCATCATCTAAAAACAAAGGTGGTAGACACTGTAATGTGAGTAGCATCTTGCGGCTGGCCAAAGCACAGTGAGAGAAGGTAGGATCTGTCAGAAAAATACAATTAGAAATGAGGAAACTATTTGAAGGAGAGGTACAATAGAGCGTTACTGACTTATTAATGGTCAGCGCTCACATAGCCTGGAATAAATAAAGTTATAATAAAGCGCATTTTTTGTTTTTTGAAGATGTGCTGCGTGTGGAAGAGATAAATCAGACTAAGCCTAGCTCTGACAGACTGTCCATCATCTGTGCGCTGGCCAGGTCCACTGGACACCTCCCCCAGTTGTCTAGTGGTCGGTGCAGGTACGCTCCCCCGCGGAGCAGCACTAGCAGGGTATCCAGAAAGCCAGAGCCGGCTGCATCGTGGGCTGGAGTCATTCCTGTGGATGGGTCCGCGATATTTGGGTCAGCCAAATAATCAATCAGGAGTTGTGCCATCTGAGAACTTCCCATCATCATCACCTGCCGGTACATGTATAAAAATAATAAGGGCAGTGTATTAAAATGTAATAGAAAATAATTTAATGTTACTCTAAAATAGTTATTTACTGTTCTCTAGAATACGTGTACTTCACCATATTTATTCTTTGTTGGGGACATGCGATCACCTTATTTGGGATCAGTTCTATTAATCCGCATCATTATGCGATACCACTCTTCTTTCGGTTCTGGGTGATGGAACAATGTTGCTAAAAATATGATATTAAATTTTTTGTAATATCATGGAGTGCTGTCACTTTTTACGGATGGGTATATATATAGCTAGATAGATATTTATATCAAAATTACTGTAATGAAAATACAGCTAACTAATTCCCCCTCCACACTCCCTCCCCCTTGTCTATTTTGGCTGCGAAATTCACTATTTTTGAATTCCAGATTTTTCATGAATTATAATAGAAACAAGATTTTTATGTTGTCACTTAATTATAATAATTATGTTTAATTTAAATCGCCTATTCTGGTTTAATGAGTATAACCCCCAGACTTCTCCCCCTATATTTCCACTTTCTGCTTTTGTATGTATACTTAAAGTGAACTTGCAGGGATACTTACTAAAGTTAGAATAAAGGGAATTACATAGTTAAGACCAGAGTAACCGAAATAAAAGCACGGCGACTTTAGTGAATAATCCTGCTAAAAGTTCAGTTCATTTTTAAGATATAATAATTAATTTGCGTTTAATTTTAACTGTCCATTCTTGTTTTAATTACACTTTATCTAAAATGTGTAAACAAGTAAAGTGTAGTAGTAAAATTATATGCTCCCTTTCCTTTTTAATTCAGTAATTGTAATTCTGGCACCAGTCATTTGTAAATTCATAGCAAATTCGTTCATAAAATAAATAGCTAAAAAACACAAGTCATCCTGGGAAAATCTTAGGTAGCTTTGCTTATGTCTGTTGTCAGCTCATGAAACAAAATTAAAAAAATTCGCTGTTTAGTGAATAAGCCCCGCATTCAATCCCCCATCCCCCTGCCTCATTCAACTTTTGTGTATATATTTATTAAAGTAGGTAAGCTAAGAAAGGCATCACAGAATATTTATATATATACATTTTTTTTTTTAATTTTTTTTTTTTTATTGGGTCATCTTTCCTCCTTCCCTGCACCCACAAACCTGTATGGGGCTCCTTCCAAAAGAGTTTCTGACATTGGGATCTGCACCCTCTTCTAACATGGTTCTTGCTAGCTGCAGGTCCCCTCTGGCTGCTGCACTCGATAACTGGTCAGCAATTGTAGCCATGATGTCTGTTAATAAATATAAATGAAACATGTACATCTATATGGGTGGGTAGACACACGCCCCTTCCCTCATGTGATTACACGGCAGCCAATAACTGCAGACGTGCTGTGAAATGCTGCAGTGCTGCCATGAGGTCTGTTTTTTTTTTTCAAGTCTCCATTAATGTAAGATGCTACAGTTTTCTTTCCTTTCTTTCTGGGTTTTTTTCTACAAACCAGGAAATGCCCGCCCATGTAAAGCAAGCAAAACTTGGCACCTAGTCATCTGAAAACGTCCTTACAGCAAAAACATCTGGCATACCAACAAGTGCAAACAATTTAATATAAATGGATTTATTTATTTTAGATCTGCCAGAATTCTTTTTACTTATACATGATGTGTCATAGAAATTGCATTAACCCTCTAGCAAACACAACAATTCTGTATTCGACTAGTAGATGTTTGTTTTTTGTTTTTATAAAGTCCATAATGTATACAGTTTAACTAAAATTTACCAATACTTTTAAAATACATTTCTTTTTTTTTTTTTTTATTGCACTAACATGGTTATTCGTTAAACAGTGAATTGTTTTGAATCTGGATTGAGTTTTACAAATACAGGACAAAATAGATAATTGAGAAAAAACATTAGTAATTAGTTATTTTTCCACCTTTGCTACAATGCCTAGTATTTGCATTGTTTCATAAAAAAAAACCTCTAAACGTTCAATTTTTTTGTTAATTTATATTATATTATTTATATGTTCCTCATTTAACATATAAACGTCGATTTATCTGCTTGTTTGATGAAATAAATACTATTGAATTCAAAGACCGTGAGTGCAGCCTGCATTTTCAACTTATCTACACCAATATCCCTAAAAGGACTGGCACCCGGCAAGCCTATAGGCAAAGCATAAGGAACTGAAAGCGTGAGTGCAAGGAACTTTGTATTATAAATATATATATATATATATATATATATATATATATATATATATATATATATATATATATACACACACACACACACACACACACACACACACACACTAAATGAGTAACAGGGTATCAAAGAAAGTGGAGCAGTCAAAAGAGTAAGACTAAGTGGAATAGAACAAATCATCACTATTTGAACGTTATATATATATAAATAGTGATGATATATATCTTTTTTTTTACATTATCTATCTGTCTGTCTGCCTATCTCTCTCTCTCTCCCCATATCTATCTATCTATCTATCTATCTATCTATCTATCTATCTATCTATCTATCTATCTATATCATAGTGATGACTTGTTCTATTCCACTTAGTCTCTTTCGACTGCTCCACTTTGTCCCATGATACCCTGTTCCCCATTTAGTGGACTGATTCACCTGAAATTACAGTACATTGTGTTTTTCATGCTCGGTTTTTCTTCGTTTATTGCTTTTTTTTTTTTTCGCCCAATATGTTTAAGAGCCTTAAGTAAGGACCATGCAATAAATAGATAATATAAGAACACATTCGCAGGCTAATGATGACATTTTAAATTCAAATGCTTCTATATTTATAATTCAATGATTAAAAAATATATATATGGGAAAATGGCATTATAAAGCTTGATACAAGATTTAATGTCACTAATCAACGCTATTTACCAAACTTCGGAATGTAGCCAATTAAAATCCGAATTACAAGGTTCAGCTTAAAATAGTAAATCTGTGCCGATAGCAGAGTTGTTTTTTTGTTTTTGTTTTTTTTATCAGCTATTTATGCCATAGTTTTCCCCATATAAATCTTAATGCTCTACAACTAAGAGTTTAGCGACTAGCCCCTAGTTAGTTTTGTTTGTCTTCTGAAGTTTTTATTCCATAAACGTCGAATTTTTACAAATTGAAATCCGAACTGAAACATTTCGATTTATAGGCCTTGATTTAAAATTGTTGGATAAGCCTTTCAAGTGGTTTAATAGGTTTTGGATACACGTTTTAAATTATTATTTTCAAACTACTATGAATATATCACATTTAAAAAAAAATATACATCAACATATCAAAATATTACAACATTAAACTATTTGCCATTATATTATATCGTTTAAAAAATATCCAAACATATAAAATAATACGAAAAAGCGTAACTAAAAATATTTAATCCAGGCCTTAGAAAAATAAATCTTCAACTCACCTTAGATACTTGCCTAGGTGTTGCCATTCCAATTGATATTAATATTATTATTTTATTTATATAGCGCCATCAGATCCCGTTACTGTACAATATTTACTGCTATCCACTCTTTAATGAATAACCCAAAGTCCCACATCAGATTTGTCCAGCATAGAGCTGAAATGATTGAGGCTGTCCATAACTCTGCAATCGAAATTAAATATTGATAGTGTAATAAAATATTTTATATAATCTACACATCAACTACTGGAGACTGCAAAAAATGGGAGAGGAAATTACTGGATTTATAAACAAAATTGTGAGTTGTGTTGAATTGCTATCCAGCCTAAAAAAGTCAGACAGAAATAAACGAAATACAAAGAAATATTGATGTGAATTAAAATATTATAATAAAATAAAGCAAGGTATTGTATTGGCACATACAGTGCACTCTTTATCAGATGCATCAGCTCCCACAGATCAATTGCTAAGCAGAGAAAAATTAGCATATACCCTGCCATTAATCATTGTTACAGACTGGTCTCGTTAGAAACGAAAGAATATTTTCTCTGCTGATTTAGTATAGAGGGATTTTCTCTAATAGACACATCTATTGAAATGCACTGTATAGTGCAAAATATAAATGTTTTGTAGGTTTGTCAAGCTTAGACAGGTGTTATGTTGGGTGCAAACTGCTACCGTGCCCCAGAATTGCATCACTTTTGCCTTGATACAATTTACCTAAATTTGTTTTCAACATTTTAAGTGATTCACCAACAAATAATTATCATTGTAAATTAGTGCTGTAAAAGCCTCATTCTAAGTAATATGCAAATCACAATCATACTGCCCTTATTGCATTTTATCGTCACATTCTCATAGCAATGCTTTGTTCTCGCATACCACATTTCTCCATATTGTTTCCCCTATTTGTAGTTTCCTTGTCCAATATATCTCCCCCTTTCTATTCACATTTCCTCTCATATATATTCCCCCAATGTGGATCAATCGGAGAGTCCCGTGAAAGTCCTACTTGCATGGCTGCCACTTGCATATATATGAGAATGGCTCTATACTCCGCTATACACGGCACTGTCAGTGAATGGGTTAAACCGCGCATTATTTTCAGTTTTACGTTTGAGTACAATAAATACATGTCAATTATAACTGATTGATTTGCGGATCAGTAAACGGGTCTGTGTTGCTATAATAGCTGCAAAGCACGGCATGGGTTGGTTAAAGTGCAATTAAGACTACAAATCTAATCATCCTAATCCTGGCAGAGGCCTAGTTTGTGTTTATATGTGTGAAACGCACCCTTCTATATAGACATGTGATAATCTCATTATTCATTAACAGTCCATACGGTAACTTCCAGGGATTTGAGGTTTTATTTGCAAACCATGAGTAATGCTCAGTTCACAACTATCTTGCAACTGTCTATTTCCTGCACAGTGTTCATGGTGGGTTATGAGTCAGAAAATAACAGCGCTGTTCAACTATTTCCTTATATCCCCATTTAATAATATATAACGTGGGTCCACTCTATACAGACTGTGTTAGATCAAACACACAGTACCAGTGGGGAATAGTAAGGCCTCTTTTTTTTAATTCCAAGTGGTAAGAGGGTGATCAAGGTTCCACGTAAGGGTCAGCTCTTTCTACAAGCCACAAGTTTTGTGTGTTCGACATAGTTAATTTGCAATTAATTATGAATATAATATGCCCATAGGTTTGTTTGTAGTTTTCCTTTTATTATTGTGCTTAAAAAGATCAGTGCCAGATGGATAACCTACCTGGGATTTAAAAGAGACCAGAGAGAGAGAGAGAGAGTGGGAGAGGGAGAGAGAGAGAGAGTATTTCCTGTTTGAGGAGGATAGTAAATGGTGTGAACTTGAAGTTTGCTCCTCTTTATTCCATACATTAATGTTATCCATTTCTCTCACATGCTACAGCCAAGTCTACATGGAGAGAAGATGGCATTCCTGTGGTTTGACTGAGGGGAGGTCATTTGATACTGGTATCTCCTTTGTCACAGATTGTTTGTCTGCCATGCCTGATACATATTTGCTATGCCACAGATATTTGTGCAAGTTGGGGGATCACAAACATCAGTACAACTAGCAAGCTGACTCAGAAGATGACTTAGTTTGTTGAAAAGCTGACTATGCCTGTTTGTAAGACATACTATTTTCTGTCTCATCCTGACCTTTTTATGCCTGATCAGTCCAAGCCAATTGTGTACCGGCCATTCTGCTAATATATATATTGAATAACTAAGTCCTTGCATAGTTTAGCTGTCCGCAGTAGTGTCACTGCCAATATAGTCTGTGCATAAACCTCTGAACACCTAACAGTCACATTCATTAGCCCCAGGGGTTCTTCTAATCTATATCTATACTATATACAAAACCTGATAAAGAAACCCTCAAGGTTGACTTTTACCTTTTCGGTTTGTAGGCAATATTCTATAAGGAATTTAAGAAGTAATGCAGATATTTAGCTGTCAATGTATCTGTCTTGCAGGTTTTCTCCAGACACTGACTTTCCTTGTTTCTTCCTAATCCAGAAAGTGTCTGTTTCACAATCCATCCTGGAGTCTTGAAGTTTTTTGTTTTTTTGTAGTGCCCAAGGTAGTGACATTATTTTTAGGGAGCAGTTACTGGTTGGAAGTTAGTGAGACCATGAATAATAGTATAAATGTACATAGGAAAATACTCTTACTCTAGAAAAGATTCAAACTAAAAAATTAAATAGTCTTTAGACTGTTATATGTTGATGGTCAATCCTAAGTGAGCAAGTCATTTAATATAAAACTAGAGAAAGAGAGTGAATACAGTGTGTCTGATCTTAAAGGACCACTATAGTGCC